CATGAGTACAGTAAAGCCTCACGCATGGGGACAGTGTGATTCTGTGAACAGCTCCCTCACTGTCACTTGAAATGGGAGCAATTCCCTCTCCCTGCTCCACCTGACCAGACCACAGCAATTTGGAAAACTACCAGTGCTCTGATCTGACCTATCCACCCCTTTCCCATGGGCTCATGGAGTGAGAGGCACTGATGTGAACCATCTGCTCCAAGCACACATGGCTCCGGGCTCTCCGTCCAGGTTGGCTTTGAGGGTGTTTTCATTACTGAACTGGATTAAACCCAGTGATCTGTTGTTGGTGCAGTGCCCCAGAGCTCAGCATATTCCTGTGCAGTAGTAACGAGTTTGGGCTGTGTGTTTGTCGCTTGTGCTGGTTTTGAGCTCTGCTGTTCACTGACAGTCTCTTCTGTGGATTTTTCCAGCTGCGGCCATTGTGATCCCGTGTTTGTCAGCAGTGGTGTCAGGCTACGGTGAGTGTCTTTCCTGCTTTGAGCAGCAGCCCTTGGCCACATAACTGACCTGTGTGTACACTTGGCTCAGGCACAGAACTGACCTCAAGTTCAGTGAAGCATCAACAGAACGCTCAGTGGCATAGGTCCACCTCGGCTCTGAGTGTTGGACCAGCTGAGCTGCTGCTCCACATTGTATGTGTGTAACCCTGAAGCGATAACCACCCTGGCAGGAGTGAGGCTGGAGTCTAGAGAAGGGCTGTTCCTACTGCCCTAGCACTGCCCTGTTTCACTTCAGCACTGCCCCATGGTCACAGTCACTCTCTGATGGCACTGGGCCATGCTGAAGCCAGGCAGAACCCTGTGTCTCGATGGAGGTGCTACAGCCCTCAACCCCTCCTCTTCTGTGAACATCCTTCGGGGAAGGGGAGCTGACTGGGGCTGCCAGGGATAGGAGGAGGATAGTCTGTCCCTGGGAAACTCGGGAACATCCCACAGGGGAGCATAGGAAACCCCAGACTGCGCTGTACGTGTTTGTGGAAGCTGGCAGCACTCCGTGCTGGACGGGTTCAGAGCTGGCAAACAGCAGCCATCTGTTCAGTGGCTGTCAGCACCACTCTTCAGTGTTGTATGTGTGGTACTGCGTAACACGGCTTGTTCCAGTGGGATGGGGAAACATGAAGCAACCTTATTTCTGGTTATGAATAAAAAGATGAAGAAGCACAAAGAATTAATATCATGGGCAAAGGCCACAACCAGGACTGAGAGAGGGAATGGCCTGGGCTCTGAAAGAGACACCAGCCACCACTGCCTGCAGTAAAACGTTCTTGCCAATTCCTTAGAACAGACCTTCTCAGGAACCTTCTGAGTTTCCTGGTCTGGCACCACTGGTTGCTACGTAACCTGGTAGAGCAGCTCTTGCTGTGGTGCTGTCTGCAGATGACACCGTCCTTTCTTCAGCTCTGCCTCAGGTGGTTGCCAGCACTGCAGTGCTTGCTGAGGTGGCTTTGCTCATGGATGTCACTTGTGTGTTGCTCTAATTTAACTTGCATCCATGCTTCTGTGGGTATCACCTGTGCTTCCTCAGCAAACCTGGTACCATGTAAAGATCATTTGTGGTGGTGTTTTGGGGGTGTGGTGAGGAGAATACACTACACGTCCCTCCCCAAGCCCACAAGCTGATTGTCCATGAAGCAGCCATGTTTGTCTTGGTGGAGGGGAAATAAATGGAGATTGGGCAGTGGGTGTGGAATGAAAGGAGGGGAGATGGGTGTGGGAAACACCTCCAAAGGAGTAAAGCTCCCAGAGGCAGAGCAGTGCCCTGCCCCAGCAGCACCCCCCCCCCACCACCAATTGCTCTCTGCTTGTACAGGCTCTGCTGGGCAGAAGGGGCGAGTGATGGGGATCCTCCGGAGCCTGGGTGCCCTGGCCAGAGCCCTGGGACCAATCCTGTCAGCTACTGGTGAGTGTGACCTCCTACTCCTTACTCTTCTGCCAGCATCCAGCATTGCTCTGGGCCCCACAGCCCCTGTGGGTCTGGAGGGAACGGGCAGCCCCATAAAATTGTCTTTGCAGAAGTAGCACCAGGAACATCTGTAACCTATGAACTAAAGTATCCCCAGTGCTCGGGGCACATGCGGTGCCTTGTGGCCCTGGTAGAGGCCAAAGGAGGCTGTGCCTGAGGAGCCCTGGTACCCTCTGTAGGGGGTTCAGCTCCCCCATGCTGTTACAGGGAAGCAGGCAGGCAGCATGTCAGAGCTGGAACTTGGACCTAGTGTTAAATCTGAGCAAAGCCAGAATCTGCTTCCTGGCTGCATCCACGTGCCAAGCATCCAGCTCGCTCTGGCTCACCAAACCCCTGCCCTGCATGGCAGCGAGTGCACCCGCGCATGGTGCCTTTCCAAGAGGAAGAGCCTGACTGGGCTTTACAGCAAAGCTGCTCCTGAGAGCAAGCTGTGGAGAGCAGCAGCTCCAGTTAACACACGTGGAGAGACTAACAAGGTAAATCTGCTTCCTTTGCAGTTTACTGGCTGGCAGGGGCCGAGGTTTGCTTCACCATCTGTGGTGCTTTCTTCCTCATCCCCTTTGCTTTACTTGGTTCTATAAAAGAGCCGCTGAAGAAGGAGTAGGAAGGAACCACACAACTATCACCAGCTTCCCTGGACCGCTCCTCAACTTAATTCTCAGCACCCAACTCTGCTGTTGAAAGAGGAAGAGGAGGACTTTGATCTTCTGGAAGGGGTTATGCCATAACCACTTGCAGCAACAACAGACTTCAGGTCTCCCATAGCCCCCCTCAAGTTCTGTGTCTCAGATGACCTCCCAGCCAGCTTGGCTGGCTTCACGAATAGAAGAACCACCACCGAACACTCCCAAACCCATGGAGTAAAGCATCGAGCCCATCAGCCAAGCAGGGCTGTCACGGCTGCCAGTGGCTCTTGGTGGCTCCGCTCAGCTCCTCTCCCAGCCCTCAGCCTCGGCCACCGTGGAAGGGTTGATCTGCGCCTGGCTACCAAAGAACAGCCCCCCCCGGGGCTCTCACCAGGTATTGCTGCAGTTGGCACACGAAGGCACAGGGGGCCTGGTAAGAGCTTGACCACCTGCCTTAAAACATGACAGTCAGAACGGCTCCCCCCGCCTGATGGAGACTGTTTTTAATACATAGGTTGAGAGGTTTTTTTATTTCTACTTCTGTGTGATGGTTTTTGCTGACCAAGCACTGTTCCTTTTGCATTACAAATAAACTCTTCTATCAGATACTGCTCTGCTCAGTGAATCACAGTGCAAACCTTACAGCCACCTCACCCTGGCAAAGCCCTCTAGGGACCAGGGCTCCCCGCGTTCCCAAACACCTCCTGGGGGACCCGGGTGCTGCCCCAGGATGCGGGGGGGGAAGGAGCCCTTGTCTGAGCATACATTAAAGCAACCATTAATCAACACATTAAATCACTGAAAGAAAAATGAACATATTAAATTTGACAGGCTACAGCTGTAGAATAAAACTGCACAAAGTTTTGAAAGCAGAGCATGAAGGTTTTAAGACTTTTATTTGTGAGTAGAACTTAATGATACAAGAAAAAGAAAAATACAGGACTTTATTCTACCCCGAAGTGTGTAACCATAGCATACATGACTACATTTCATACTGTAATACAAAGAATTAAAAGAACAAACTACAAAATCAGAAATTAAAGAGTCATTGCATACGTGGCTGAGAGAAATGGAGGGACTCCATTAAAGAACTGAAACATACAGCAATTAGTCACTGAATTAGGACCCTGCGCTAGAACACGATTCAGCAAGGTGAGCACTGCACTCGTCCAGGGGGCAGAGGGGACCACGAGGGTCAAGCAGACGTGAAGCCGCTGCAGCCCTGGGCAGTCACCTGCCTTGCTTCAGCACTGACCCCACTTCCAAGTATCCTTCCGCACCCAAAGCGACAGCTCCCATTTCCCCTTCCACCTCCCAGCCTGACCCAGGCCGTGCCCCTGCTCTCTGCTGCAGCAGTGTAAGGCATTAGTTTGCTGCTGTGTTGCCAATTGCAAGGTTTACTGTTGTCCTCAGAGGTGAGAGCTGCATCCTGTTTTCTACAGCCGCTTGCAGTGACTCAGCACCTTCCCCTCTCCTCGCAGGGCTGTCAGCGTTTGCTGCTGCTGGACCAGGAACACTGACATGAGGAACCAAACAGGTTCCAGCCCTCCCTGTGAGCCTCCCCTACCCCACCTGGCACTACTGTTAGGATGGGTGACAGACAGAAGCATGGCAGTGACTGGGAAATAGTGAATTCAGTGGCAAAAAGTGATTTTCTTTACCATGCTACATATTAAACAAACATTTATAGCAAACTGTGAAAATACACCTTTTAAGGTTATTTGGGGTTTCTGTACTTCACTGCTGGCGACAAAAATAAAATATTAAAGAAACACCAGTTTTTGTAAGTGAAAATAATTCATATAAAACAAGGTTACCTGTTCAGTGTAACGCATTTACATTATTATCATGGGAAGAACACACACAAAAGGCTGCAAGCAGGGTTTATGTGCAGCAGCTCTGCACCCAAACCCTCTGCTAAGGCCCAAAACAGCGGCCCAGGCTTCACACCACCGCCAAGAAACCTCCCAGACACTTGTGGTACAGTTACTTATAACCTGTTCTAACAGCCAAATCACCATGTGAGCAATCCATAGGGAGGCAGGACTCAAAGTCACATTTCCCTTAAACTGCATTTGCTAGGAAGTAAGATTGGGCTCTTAACACACAACTGTGAGCGGAACACACCATGGATATTTCAGTCCTGGACAGCAAAGATGATTTCACGAGCCAGTTAAAAAATAAAGTGTTTTGTTACAATGGTGAAAGGGGAGAGAGAGGAAGGAATGGATTAGCCTCAAAGCTCGACTAAAACAGGGTTTGTGAGCAGGTACTCACATGTCAGTTCAAGAACACCTCCCCTCGAGAGCGCCACTGCAATAGCATCTGCTCAAGAAGTCAGCATTTAAAAGGAAACTTACTTGTGACTTGGAACAGAACATGGGAGAAGAATGCTCCTTGTGGTAAGCCATGTGTGGTTTATTTCTAATTGTGAACATCTTTTTAATTCTTTTGTAAAGCAGCGCAGGCTTTAAATCAAAAATAGCGGTTCAATGCCTTCCACATGGAAGTCATTCACATTTGATTCCAAATTCAGGATCAGATCTGCGGTAGCTGCTGAAAACACGGGATTAGCACCTTTTTGGCCATTAGTTTCTGGTTATAACCTCAAACAATCAAGCCATAACTCGAGGGGCTGGTTGGGTTACTTGTTGCATTCATTTACATAGTACGACAAAACACTCGGTACGATCTGGTACATTCTAGTGGTTAATGGAGTTGGGAATATGACAGTGTTTCTGCAGTGTGTTTGGCCTTTAGGAGTCACTCTTCTTTTTGCTCTTCTTCAGGAAGGAAGGAGTGCGAAACTTCTTTTTCTTTTTCGATGGGGACTTCCCTGGAGATTCATCACTACCTGCATCGGCTGCCGGCCCCTCCTCCGTGGTTGGTGTCACTGGCTCTTCAGCAGGTTGGGGCTGGGGTTCCTTGTTTTCCACTGCAGGTGATTCCGTTTGGCTTTTGGGCACATCTTCCTCACACCTCCCTTCCTCCTTCCCCAAGGGAGGGAAGCTGAGTGCTTCTGAAGGCTCGTCAGGGGTGAGATCTGGGAGGGTTTGCTTGAAAGTTGCAGCGTCACTGTCATCTTTGTAAGTCTGGTCCTGCTGTCTCTCTGGTGGAGGGACACACAACGACACAGTTAGTTTTACCTAAGTGTCCCTGGAACACAGAAGCGAAGTGAGTTGATGGTAAACGCGCTCTATAAAAAACCTAAGATATTTAACTTTGCAGAAAAGCCTTTGTAATAGGTCTGGTCTCCTTTCGCTTTGGGCACAGAGGTACAAACAAGATACTCAAATGTTCTCTTTGCCTTTAAGCTTCTAACCACAGAATAGATAAAGCCGAATTCCATCATGTGGCTGTAAACCAGCAAGAAAGCGACTGGTTCAGCTCTTTCTTGTTTTACGTGTAACGTACAGGAGGTTTTAGGGCAGTAAGCAGGAGTTGAACCTGTAGTTTTCACTGGCATTGAAGAGAGCATCATGCAATTCCAAATCTCAATTATTTTTTCTTTTGGTGGAGTAGAACTAGTTGCTGGTTTGCTGTGAGGGATACACACAAATCCACTGATTTCTGAAGTGCTGGCCTGCCAATTTGTAATCAGAATGCTTGGATTCTTATAACATTGTTCCATGAGATCTAACAGATGTTGCTTCAGAATATGATCTCCTATCACAAAGGCTTTGCTTTTGCAAGGTATGAGTATATATTATGGATACCTACAAGTTAAATCCATGGGGTTTGTCAAATTAAATGAGCTCAGCAGGTTATGCAATAACAGCTTTTGTTTTTAACATATGTGATGCCTAACAGCAAAACTCACCCCTGCAGAAGGAACATCAAAAACCTGGCACCAACTTCATGTCCAAAGGTGAACTTCGCCACCGCTCCCTCAACTGTAACACTTCCCTCCTTCTCCACTGTGCTTTAGGGATGTTCTGTTTACAGCTCCTCTTTGTACATAACATGTTGAACAACCTACAGTTTTTAAGTTCCCTGCAATGCTCATCACTGAACTGGAACCAAGAAGGATCTCGTCGCTGCGTCAAATATACCCCCACTGATGTTACGTAAGGAGGAATTCAGAACAAAATCCAGGCCATGCTCATTGTAAGGCACAAAAGGCAACTATTTTTTCCCCCTTTTAAAATCTTGTTCATTTTAATTTGAAAAGAGTGAAGGCTTTCATAAAAATTTACAGAAAATAGTTGATACTTTACCATTTTTTCTATGGAAATGACAGAGTGTTCTTTTTATTTCTGCCAGATGGGAGTAATACTCCTCTAACATTATTTTAGAGGGCTCTGTTCTGTGAATATCTGCTAGAAAACCAACATATTTTGCCTAGAGCACCATGAGCTTCTAAGAGGTTAAATAAACAGCACACACTAGTATTCAGTGCCAAACACTCGGAATGCACGAGTTAGCAGTTTAAAAGTTATAATGCAGGCAGGATTTATAACAGAGGAAGAAGAGAAAGCCATTATGTACATTGCAAGCTGTCCCCTAAAGCTCTGGTTTAACCCGAGTCCGTTTGTGATGCACAAACCTGTTAGAAGCACCACCTACAATTCTTTACTACCACTACACTCTTTTTGGATTTCATTTTACTTCTCAGGAATTAACTGAAAGCCCTGCTGATGTCTTCTCCCTGTGATCCAGGGACAGTATGTCTGGGAATGGCTCAAAGCTGTAGCAGGGGAGTTTAGACTGGACTTCAGGAAACACTTCTTTACCAAGAGGGTGGTCAAACCCTGGAGGAGGCTTCCTAGAGAGGTGGTTGATGCCCTGAGCCTGTCAGTTTAGGAGGCATTAGGACAATGCCCTTAACAACATGCTGTAACTCCTGGTCAGCCCTATCATGGTCAGGCAATTGGACTAGATCACCGTTACTGGTCCCTTCCAACTGAAATAGTCTTTTCTATTCATTAGCTGGCCCAATTTTTGTAGAGCAGGCACCATATTAGACTGCCAGTCGGTTTCATTTTATCTTTTTAAAATAAGTTTAAAAGAAAGTTTTAAACAAAGTTTTTAAAAAAGGGATTAGAAATTCTTAAAATGAAAGAATAGGAAGCTACAGGCATTTGCCAGTTGGCCTAAGCACTGGATAAATGTAAGCAGGTTTATAACTCATTAATCCAGGACTGTTATCCTTCCGAGTCTGTCAAATTACCACCAGCTTTCCTAAATGGATTAACATTACACGCTGGAATCAAACAAGCATCTGTTTACTCAGCTCGCTAAGGACAGTATTTTACCAGAACTAGGTGGGTTTACAAATGCAGTATGCAAACACCTTGGTGTTCTATTGATGGATTTCAGTAATGGAACTAGGAAGGTTTAAGAATGCATCTTGCTGCAGAACCTATTTATAGTTTAAAATCTCTGCAGTACCTCAAAACTTCTGAAGCTTTTTAGAATAATCATGCCTAGATCCATGCTTCTGCTTTATATATATTGTGACATAAGAGTTTGAAAGGTAACATTAATACTGGCGAGTGTTTACAATTCACATTATTTATGAAGAATAAAGGTTTATGTTTTTTCCAACACAAACATGTGGACAAACATACAAACTAGGCCATAACTGAGTTAACACAAAACACTCTGCTGACTTCAGCTACACTTAAATAGAGGAAAATATGAGGTAAAAAGGTCGTGAAGCAGCTCTGTAGAGAGACCATTGTCATTCAACAGAGCTTCTGCCAACCAAAGTCATCATGGGTGTGAACTTCCAGTTACTCTCTAAAATGAGCTTTGTATGTTTGTCCTGGAAAACTTACAGAACTACACGAGTCTGTGGAGCACGAATCTCAGATTGAAAGGATTTTCAGGTTTTAGAACTTTACTAGTAACACCACAGGAGTCTATGCTGTAGTTTGACTTTCATACCAATGACAAACACACTGACTTTCAGATATAACAGGACATACAAACATGGAGGGGGCCAAACATCCTTATTACTTTAAAGTATAATCTGAGGCAGCCCTGCAGAGCTAGCCGAAACAGATGGAGAAGTTGCTGCCACCATGTTCTTGCCATTATTCCTTTGTAGAAATCTGGATTTTCCTACA